GCGGGTCTCGAACCCGCGGGCTCAGGCAATCCACTCGCCTCAGCCTTCCAAAGGCGCGGGACTACAGGCTGAGCCACCAAGCCCGGCTGCCACCTCCAGTTTTACTCCGGCCATAGCCTGGGAAATGAGGCTGCCTGCAGGACAGCAGAGGCTTGCTTCCAGCTGTGGGTTGATCGGGGCCAGCTCTGTGCCCCAGCACCTCGGCAGAAGGTGGGAGAAAGCAAACTTGATGCACTTGTCAAGAATGAGTGAATGAATGAACATAGAGACCTCAAGGGGCCGTCAGCTGGTCAAGAGACAAGATGCACTCAGGCAGAATGTCAAGTGACCATCAAGCCAGCAAGAGGTGACCACACATTCTCAGCACTGACCCGGGCCTCGTGGGATGGTGGGTGAGAGACAGGCCACTCCAGGCGGTGTCACAGCAAGGGCATAGGCCAGGAGGCGGGGCACGGGCCCAGACCGCTTCCCTGGGGTGAGCAGTCATCTGACTCTCGGTCGCCGGGGCTGGTGAAGGCTCCTGAGTCCCGGCCCGTGTTTGGACAAGCAGCAGGGGGATCTCCACAGGGCTTCAGTAAGGCCTCTGGACTAACATAGAGGATCCCGCAGTCCCTGGAACCCCCTCTGCCCACAGTAGCAGGGACTCGGGCAAGGATGACAATGGCTACACTGCACTTCACAAACCTTAGGCCACTTGCTCCCTATAACTCGTATGAAATCACCTCTTCTCCTCATTGTACAGGTGAGGAACCGGAGGCCCGGGGCTGAGTATCTGTGTGCATAGCCAGACAGGGTAACCAGAACCCCCCAAGCAGGAGCTGCCAGTCTGGAGGTGAGTCACAGAGCACACAGTAGGCCCTCAACCCATGCTGTGACCCACAGCTGTGACCTCAGACCCAGCCAGGACTTGAAAATAGTAGGGGCCTTGTTCCCCAGAGGACCCGGACGAGGCAGGGGACAGGTTCATCTGGAGACTAGGACCAGGTCGTTCAAAGAGTGGAGTGAAGGGGGGCGGGACACACCCATGAGGACAGCAGGGCAGTCTGGGGACAGGAAGACACAGGAGGCACAGTGACCACCAGGGGGCAGCAGCACCACCCCAGCCATGGTCGCCCTGCTAGGCATGGCAGAATCAAGACGTTTTCTTTCTTAGCAGCATCTAGTTGCCACCTGCTGGGGCACCTAGGGGAACTTGGCATTCGACTTCTCCCCCACGATGCCCACACCTGTCCTGCCAAGCAGGAGGTCACAGACTTGGAGACTTAAGCCAAGAGGCCAACTCCCTCTAGGGTCCCATCCAGGTCTGACCTAAAATCTCTCAGGTGGGGTGTCCTTGGCTGCCAGGATGACCACCAGGCACCCACCGAGCGCAGCCCCCTTGGTCCTGCAGACCTCCACACTGGTCAGCTCCTTCCTTGCTCTGGAATCTTCACTGGCTGCCCTTCACCCGGGACTATTCTCACAGACCCTAATTTCAAGGATTTTCATGTGCACGGAGGATTCAGAATGATGAACAGGGCTTGGGAGCCTGTGAGAGTTGGGGTGAGGCCAGGCTCCTTGTTTGCTCCAGGCAAGCAAGGACTCTATTTCCCCACCTGGAAAATGGGGCGGCCGATGGAGCCTACACTGTGACAGTGAGATGAGCCAGCAAACTGTAAAGTGCTGTGCCCACTGCAAGGCTCGGGAAGAAGCAGTGAACAGAAACGCCATGTGGAGAGGATGCTGTCGGGGCCCACTGCCCCTCTTTCTGGGGTAGGTACACCCACCCAGATGCTGTGAGAGTGGCTCTAACAGCCCTTGAAGCCCTTCCCCAGACCTGTCCTCCTGATGAAAGCCATTTGGGCAGAAGGATCTGGGGCCATTGTGTGTGTGTGTGTGTGTGTGTAGGGGGTGGCCCATAGACTCAGTGACTGCCTGACAGTGGGTAAAGAAAAGCCCAGCCTCATGACTGGGTGCATGGCTCACGCCTGTCATCCCAGCGCTTGGGGAGGATGAGGCAGGAGGATCGCTTGAGGCCAGGAGTTCTGGGCCAGGCTGGGCAACATAGTAAGACCTTGTCTCTGCAAAAAATAAAAATTGAAAGGCCCAGCCCAGCCCACCAGAAACTCTGGTCCTGTCCCCTCTCCTAGGCATCCTGTGGGATCAGACCCAGTACAACCTCTCCTGAACTCACAGCTCTGGCTGGCTTCTCCCTGCCCCTCCTGCCCCCTATGCCCTGGCAGGCTTCCTTCCAGAGGGTCCCCATCCACAAGCCACATGCCCCAAATCCTCAGGTTCTGCCTCTGGTCCCAGACACGCCACGGCCCCACATCCGCCCCTGTGCCCCCTGCTAGCCCCGCCCCACCTGCAGCACCAGCAGCATCTGCACAATGGCAGGGGGCACACGAGCGTGGGTGCGGGCCAGCGCATCCTCCAGCTTCACGCTGAGTGTGATGGCGTTCCGGAAATGCAGCAGGGCCAGCTGGCGCACCGACGGCTCCTTGCCCTGTGGACACAGAATGCACCACACCCGCCCCACCATGGTCACTTGTGGCCTCATCTCCCCTCCCTGAGTCCTAGGGCTGGACAGGAAGGATGAACTCGCTGACCCTCAGACTCCCTCCACCCTGTCTCCTCCCCAAGGTCACAGACCCCCTTCAGTTTCCTTGGGAGGGGAAAGGGTTCAGCGAGCATCCTAATCGCATCTTGCAGGGACAGCCAGGCTAGACAGTCGACCGAGGGCAGCGCAGGCAGAGCAGGTGTGCCCACCCCGAGTCCAGCAGCCCCTTCTCTGAAGTGAGGCCAGACCGGGTGTCACTACCCGGGCTCCCTCACCCAGGGCCCGGCACTTGCCTGCACAGGGTAGAAGATGGCCTGCAGCATGGGCAGCACGTCGCTGAAGAAGAAGTCCCAGGTCTCTGCCAGCGAGTCTAGCAGCTTCTGCCCTGTGGGCATGGGGGCCGTCACCACTGGGCCACAACGGCTTCTGGCAGACACCCCCCCTCTCAGGACGGGCCGGGGGACATGGGAGCGAAGGACTCTAGAGGCGGCTCTCAGTCCTATCGCACATGGGCTCTGTGGCCCTGGGCCTGCTGCTTGACCTCGGCTTGCCCATTTGCAAAATGGGAGTAGCCGGCCCAACCTCCCCGAGCTGATGGCGGGACCAAGGCATGAGGTGTGTGGCACAGGGCTTGGTAGCAGATGCCAGCGGCCAGTTCCCGTGCCTGCCAAGTACCAGACCCACACAGGTGAGACCAGCACAGGTACGAGTTTAGTTCACAGCCTAGTCTCATCAGATCCTCCTGAAAACACGCAGTTGAAGAACTCACCCACCTATCACCTGCCTATCACCATCCCTCTCCCACCAGTCTGTGCACCCTTTGGTTCCCCCGACAAACACCTACAGAGCGCCTACTCTGTGCCAGGCCTGACGCTGGATACTGGGGACCAGCCAGGCCCCAGACAGCCCCAGGTCCATCACACGACAGGGACACAGAACACAGAACAGCAATTACAAGGACAGCAGTGAAGGGCGACTGCCATGGAGCAGGTACAGAGGCTGAGCCTCTGAGAAGAGGGTGGGCCATGGTCAGCAACTGGAAGGGCCTGGGGCCGGGCCAGTCCGGGCTGCCTGTGGTGAGGTCTGGGGAGTCACGGAGACCACTTCCAGCAGCTTCATCACATCCAAGGGAGGAGAGAGGGTGGAGAGGCCGGCAGGGAGGGAGGCTTCCTGGAGGAGGTGTTGTCGGATACGGGGGCTGGGTTCACCAGATTGATAGCACAGGATGGCACAGCTTGGCATGGGAATCTCTGAAGCACATAGGTGGAAAGCAGCTTTCGGGACAAGCCCTATGGGCACTTCTGCCAGCTATGGGAGGGGTGGCCCTCGGGGGACAGGGAGAGCCAAGCTCCCCAAGTCAGCTGGGGCTCTACTGGGATAGGCAATGTATGGAACCCTTGGTCTTTCTGTCTGGACTGAGCAGAGAGCTGGGAGGAGGGCTGCTGGGTCCAGGGATGAGCAGGTCCCAGCATGTGTCCCCAAGGCCTCTGCGGCCTGGAGGGACCCCACCTGGAAACCAGACTAGCAACAGGGTAGAGAAGATCTTGGTGTTGCAAGTGTCTCCGAGTGAAGAAGGAACAGCCGCCACCCATGGGCTGGCCTCCTAGGTTGCACCTCAGACCAGACCGCTTCGAGATTCCCATGGGAACGAAGAGGCCGGACAAGGGCCTTCAACTCTCCTTAGGCCTCGATCCCTTTCCGCAGGCCCACAGGTCTGTGGGGGTGTGAGGCACTGGGGGCAGAGCCGAATTGGGGCAGCCCCAGAGGGGACCGGCCCAGCCCCCTGTGTGGCCCGTCTGCTACTTTCAGCCCTCCCAGGTGGCCACACCTGGCTCCAAGGGCAATGGAGGCCAGTAGCAATGCCTGGGACAGGTGGATGCTTGCCATCCTGCGGAGCCAGGCCTGCACACAAAGTTCCTTCAGTTCCCTGCCGTGGCAGCAGGAAGAAAGGCGGCCCAGTCCCTGGGCCAGCCGTGGGGTGGCTCTGGGTGCCCGCCAGCCCAGGGTTCTGCTGAGCGCAGGCCACCCTCCAGCCTACGGGGCGGAAATGCGGCGGAAAGCAGATGTAAAATGCAGAATCCAGCCTGACTGGAGCTGCACATGGACGAGAGAGAGGCCGGGAAAGGCAGCCTTGCCTGCTGGCTGGGCTCCTGGCCAGGGACGGTCACCCGGGGGCCTTTCAGGGAAGGAGGCTGTCAGGGGCGTCAGAGTCAGAGGCATCCTCTATAAAACAGGTGTGAGAAACATCTCCACGTGGGCAGGTTGACAGCTGAACTGCACTCAGTGCTTGTGGCTGGCACGATGTGGCCAGGAGTGTGTGTGCCGTGTCTTGGCTCGAGCCTGGCCGCAGCAGGTGCTAGCACCCGCAGGTCACCAGCCACATGGTGGCCGTGGCTCCCTGCTGGCTCTGACCTGGGGCAGACCAGCATCTGTCTGTCTCTCCTTTATTCCATCCAGAACTGTTGAGGGCCAACTGCATAGGCCTCAGAGACAGGAACCAATCAGGCTGGGCTGGCTCAGGCCTCAGCCCACATCAGGGAGACCCAGGGACAGCGAGGACCACGTAGCAGTGACATAGGCCACAAGTGGGGGCCCTGGTAGAGCAGGCCAAGGGGGTCTGGCAGGGGGCTACCGAACACAGGCTCAGAGGAGAGTATGCAAAGGCTGTGGGTGGGCCTGGTCACATGCCCGGCACCAAGTTTACGCTCTCTGGTGGACAAGAGGCGGCAGGTCCCAGGGTCTGGCGGCAGAGGGGCAGGGGTCCTCCCAGAGTCCCTAGGTTTCTGGCTGCCACAGTGCTGGCTCCCATAAGCCAGCCAGAGACTACGGAGCCATGCCCTTGCACGCATAGCCTCCACCTCAGGGCTGAAGTCAGGCCTCACTAGAGGCTGAAGGGAAGGCAAGCGGTGTGGTTCTGGCTGCCCCAGGTGGGGCCACCTTCCTCCATCTGTCCCCTCCTGCCTGCAAGGAGCAGTCTGGGCCCCAGACCGGGGCGAGCAGCAGAAGAGGGGGCTCCTGAGCACGCTTCAGGATGAGGAGGGAGCTGTTTCCCCGCTGCGAGGGGCTGGTGGGGCCAGATGTCCTCCGGAACACACCAGAGTCTGCGCCCGACTCAAGGCCCGTCAACTCTCTGCAGCCCTCCCTGACTGCCAAGGTGGAACTAACCCTTTCCCGGGATTCCTGTACACCCTCACATTCATCACACTGGACTGTTGTCGTCTGGTCCATGTCTGTCTCCCCAGTTGGCTGCGAGTCCCTGAGGGGAAGAGCCCGCGTCGCCTCCCTCTCCAGTCCCTGAAGGCCACTTGGGTCTGAAGCGTGGATGGAGCCGCTTCCTAAACCAGAGTGCTAAGGTAGGAATGCTGAGGCCAAAGAGGCAACGATGTTTCTCTGTAGCTACAGGGGAACTGGGAGCCAGGGCCTCTGCCGCCCTGTGCCTGTTCCCCAGGCCTGGGGAGGTCAAGGAGGGCTGACAAGGCAGGGGAGAGGCTGAGCCCTGGGTGGGGCTTCCCAGAGGGCCCTCTGCCCCTTCCGCCGGGCAGTACCCACCACCAGGAGGCCTGGTGGACCCAGCTGCCCTGGGCAGAGCTCCACCACACCACACAAAGCACTCCTTCTCTGACAGTCCCAGCTCCCTTGGGCTGGAGCCGGTGGGAGGCATGGGCACCGCTGGAATGTGCCGAGTCAGGAGAGGGGCGTGGGAGGGCATCCTCCCCAGGTGCCAAATGTCGCCGGCTCTGGCCTGCCAGCCAAGACGCTGCCTCCTCCAGGAAGCTGTCCCAGAGTCTCAGTTGCCTGTGCTCCCTGCCGGATCTGATGGTTCTCACAGCCTTTCTCATGGAGGAGAGGAAGGAACATGGGTCACACAGTTTCAAGTTCATCAGGGCACATCAGGCCTCCAGGCCTCAGTGTCTGGCTCTGTGGAACAGGCTAACATTCCTTCTTCTAGGGTGGAGGGAGGCCTCGACAAGTGTAAGCTGCAGAGCCGGCCGTCTGCTCTGCAGTATGCGGGCTGGGTGAGACACTAAACCTCGCCATGCCTCAATTTCCCCATATGTCCACTGGCAATGATGATGGTGGTGTCTTTGCAGGGTTGTGGGGCATAAAAAGAATCAGCAGATGGAAAACGCTTGGGCCAGCATCCAGCACAGAGGACACATATGCCCAGGCCTGGTGCCTAACGGGTGTTCAACAGAGTGTAGGAGCCTGAGCCCACCTCAGGGCGGGCACACTGGGAGCCGGCCTGAACCTCCCCTCCCCTCCCCTGACCTTCCCCACGCCAGCTCACTCCTATAAGGACGTGTGCACCTCAGCAGCTGCCAAAGTTCCTCAGACCCTGGGAGCCCGGGGGTGCCAGGACCCGGCATGTGGTCAAGGCCCTCCACCCACCTGCTGAGCTCTGAGCCAGAGAGTGAGGCCAGCAGGGGTTCTGGGGGCCTTGAGAAGCAAAGGGTGTGTGCCCTGGAGTCAGGCAGACCTGGGCTCAAATTCTGCCTCCACCCTTGATTGGCAGTGTGGCCATGGGCAGATCACCTGTCATCATATGTTGTCCCCATTTGAGAACAATGACCTGAAGGCCCCAAGGGGTGGGTATAAGCATGAAAAGAAAGCACGCCCATCACGGGGCTCAGCTCTGGGCTCCTTCTTTCACAGGTATCAGAGAGACTCAGCCCTACACTGGTTCTCCTCTGAGACTCCAAGACCTGGACGAGGCCTCTCCAGGCCACGGGGATGGGCTTCACCAGAGCCAGACTGCGTCACAGGCAATGAGGTGAGACAGGCGCCCTCTCCTGATGACTCACAGCACTCCCCCCCCCCCCCCCCCGGGGCTCCAGCAGGTTTGGAGACAGACTCTCACCTGGGGTCCTCACCTGGGTACAGATCGCAGCCCTGCTGTCCCTATAGGCCAGTTTGGGCCTTTCCAATCGCTCCTGACCAGAGAGCCATGCCTCCCACCTGGAGCCCGGTCACGCCAGACTCCTAGCAGGCAGCACGACACCCAGCAGGCACATCAGCATGCAGCCCAGCTCCGCACGTGGTCCTGGCCACGGGGCCACCACACTCACCCTCGTAGAAGCGGATCTTGTCCCGAAGGATCACCATGCCTTTTGTAAGCAGCTGGTTCTGAGGGGAAACACAGAGGTGCTGTCACTGCTCCAGGGGGTACCTGGGGTGTCCTGGCCAGCAGGGCCTCTGAGAGTCCACCACCAAGCAGCCAAGGCCCAGATGGGGGGAGGTTCACAGAGGGCCCACAGCCCACCTGCCGCAGAGCCCGGACCTCAGCTCAGCCTGGGAGGCAACCACCAAGCCAGCCTGGGGTTGTCACAAGACCAGAGGTGACCACAGGGACACCCTGAGAGACAGGCCAAGCCTATTGTCCCCTGCTCTGGGCTGAGCTGGACAGTCGGCTGTCTTGCATGTCCCATGGTGAAGAAGGGACTTTGAAGAAAGAGGGGGCCGAATTACAGAAGGGCTGGCCTGTTGGCCACCTTGCACCACATGGCCCCTGTGTACGCCACCTGGGGCAGCTCAGCTGAGAACCAGACTGCGTGGTCTCAGCACTATTCACAACAGCCCAAAGGTGGAGGCCACCCAAGCGTCCACCAGCAGAAGAATGGATAAACAAAACATGGTCTGGCCGCACACTGGAACGTTCCATGGCCATATAAAGGAATGAGGTGCAGACTCAACTTACAGTGTGGATGAACCTTGGAAACATGATGCCAACTGATAGAAGCCAGACATGGATGGCCATGTACTGTGTGACCCCGATATGAGACATGCAGAACAGGCCAGTCCACAGAGGCAGAGGGGAGGTTAGCTGCTGCCTTGTGCTGGCATAGGGGGAGAGTGGGGAGTGACTGCTGATGGGGACAGGGTTTCTTTTTGACATGAGAATTAGATAGTGGTGATGGTTGCACAACTTTGTGAATACACTAGAGGCCATTAAATTGTAGGCTTTAAATGGGTGAATAGGACGGTCTGTGAATTATCTCAATGAAGCTGTTAGATAATTTTTTTTTTTTTTTTTTTAAGTCAGGATCTCACAGTGTTGCCCAGGCTGGAGTGCAGTGGCACAATCACAGCTCAGTGCAGTCTCACTCCTGGGCTCAGGGGATCCTTCCACCTCAGCCTCCCAAGAAGCTGGGCCTAGGTGATTTTTAAATTATTTTGTAGAGATGAGGTCTCACTTTGTTGCCCAGGCTGGTCTCGAACTCCTGGGCTCAAGCGATCCTCCTGGCAATAATAATTTTTTTTTTTTTGAGTTGGAGTCTCACTCTGTCGCCCAGACTGGAGTGCAGTGGCCGCTCCCGGCCACCGCAGCCTCGACCTGCTGGGCTCCGGCGATCCTTCCGCCTCAGCCTTCCAAGTAGCTGGAACTACAGGCACGCGCTACCATGCCCGGATCATTTTTTGATTTATTAGAGAGATGAAGTCTCGCCAAGTTGCCCAGGCGGGTCTTGAACCCATGGGCTCAGGCAATCCTCTCGTCTCCGCCTCCCAAAGAGCTGGGATTACAGGCATGAGCCATTGTGCCCAGTAATAGCAATTCTTAAAAACTCTAAAATCATGTGATGGAAAGAATCACAGGCCTACCTGGGGGCAAGGAGGGCGATCTCCTCTAAGGTTCGATGAGATGCCCAAAGCTGGGCTGGGCATCCACACCAGCCCTGGAAGCTGAAGGAGCACCGGGCCATGCATGCTGCGTGGCTCTCCCTTGCTGTGCGATGTCAGGCAGAGCATCTTGCCTCTCTGAGCCCCAAGGTCCCATCCAACCCCATGTTGTCATCAACTCAGGTGCCAAATGTCCCCAGCAGGCCTGTGGGCCACATGGGGTACGTGAGTATTAACTGTAGCACTTGGGACAGAGGCGATGGGTGATGCTGATGTCACAGCTACCATTGTCACCACGTGGCTCCGGGCACTGGGGCTGTGCAGATGACCCAAATATGATGTCTGGGACCCTAGACTGATATTTGGGGTGGGGTAGGGGATGGATAATAACAAAACTTTGAGCCCCATCAGGTGCCAGCAAAGTACTAAGACTTCACCTGCATCATGTCATTTAAACTTTACAGTAATCCACGTTGGAGAAACTGAGCCATGGCAAGGTGAGTCCTTGAAACCCCAGGCAGACAATGGAGGAGCTAGTGCTTCATATCCACCAAGAGCAGGTGACCCTCCCACCCCATCCTTTTTGGTCACTCAGGAAGCACCACCAACCCCGCTGGAGAGCACAGCTCACCCACCTGCAGGTACTCTGTGAAGAAGGACCCCAGTTCTGTCTTCAGCAGCTGCCTGTGGGCAGAAGGAGAGACAAGAGTGAGTCACAGGCCATATGGCTCCAGAGTGGGGGTCCTGGGGATGGGTGGGGGCTTCTTGGGCAGCAGGAGACCAACCTGCTCGGCCCAACAACATGAGAGGTAGGCAAGTCCCACCTGTCCAGAGCCACAAGGGCTGGGTTGGCCTCTAGTTCCAGGTCTCCCCATGAAAATGAAGGCCGCTGCGTCTCATGCTTTCTCCAGCAGGGCTGGGCCTGTAACACCTGGTTCACTCCTTCTTCCCACCTGCCCAAATCCCAGATGCCTAGGTTTCTCCTCTCCCCCTCCAGAGTCTGGCCAAGTGTTTCCTGCTTTGCTCCAGAGCAGCTCTTTCAGTCTTCACTGACCCTGTGGCTTGCATTGATTAGGGCTCCCCTTCTACGGGGGAGGCAAGAGAGGCTCATAGAGGTCAAGTGACTAGTCCAAGGCCACACAGGACACGCCAGAGTCTGGGTCTGAACCTCATCCTTTGTACACAGTGCTGAGCATGACTCTTATGCCACACCTCCAGGGGCAGAGGAGGCCAGGACATCACCAACCTGGACTGGAAACACGTAGACATGGTCACTACGGGGGACCCAAGACCCCTTAACTACTTCACTAACAGCCTTTATGTTCTCAATCAAACAGATCAGAAATTTTGATTTTTATCAGGAAAACTTGCTATCTGTCCTGAAGTACAGGCAGTCCTCACTTTGCATGGTTCTGATACCTATGAGTTCAGGGATTGCAGTTAAGTAACACCTCACCCCAACCACGTGGTTCAAATTTCAGTTCCCAGGCACTCTGCATCAAGTACAAGCTTGCTGCGGGCTCTCCAGTCCACAGATTACAATCCAGGTCACAGATGTGCATGAGGACCAGTGACCAATCGTGTCGCTTCTTTAAAAGTCGGCCTGTGATTGGTCCCTGAGCATCTATCTATCTCTCTCTCTCTCAGGTCAGGCCCAGACATCAAGGTGTGTAGTTGTGTTGCCTCCTTGTCTCCCAGTAATAAACTCACATGGCATTTTATAAAAATGGCCAACAAAGATGAAAGGTGACAATGTGCGCTGAACAAGCAAACACTGTTCAAACTATTTTGTTCCTTAAAAACTTTAATTAGTGTATTAAATATTCATTTTACCATATTATCTTTTTCATTTCTCTGTACATTTATAATCAATAGTAAGAAGCCGGGCACAGTGGCTCACTCCTGCAATCCCAGCACTTTGGGAGGTGGAGGCGAGAGGATGGTCTGAGCTCACAGGTTCAAGAACAGCGTGCACAACTTGGCAAGACCTCATCTCTACAATACATAAAAAAAAAAAAAAAAAAAGAAAAAAGAAAAATTAGCCGGTCATGGTGGCATGTGGCTGTAGTTCCAACTCCTTGGAAGGATGAGGCGTAAGGATCGCCCGAGCTCAGCAGGTCGATGTCTTGGCTGTGAGTGTGCCACTACACTCCAACCTGGGCAACAGAGTGAGACTCCAATTCAAAAAAAAAAAAAGTAAGAGAACCTTTAATGTTCCAAAAAAGGTTTTTTAATTTTTATTATTATTTTTTATTTTGAATTGGGGTCTCACTGTGTCGCCCAGGCATGAGTGCAGTGGCATGACCACAGCTCACAGCAGCCTTGATCTCCTGGACTAAGCCAGTTCTTCCACCTCAGCCTCCTGAGTAGCTAGGACTACAGATGCACGCCAACATGCTAGACTAATTTTCTCGTTTTTTGTAGAGATGAGGTCTCGCTATGTTGCCTAGGCTGGTCTCGAACTCCCGGGCTCAAGCGATCCTCCCATCTTGGCCTCCCCAACCGCTAGGATTACAGGTGTAAGCCACTGCACCCCAGCTTCCAACAAAAATTTCAAAAGATCACGGAACAATTGTTATTTTCCCTGTGGTTCACTAAGAGGGCTTTGTACAGCTTCAATTTGCATGATCATTTTGGGGGCCCTGCACTGCCGCACAAAGACAGCACTAGCTGGATTTTGCAAAAGCAACATACTCAAGAAAAAGCCCAAATAAGGCTCGCTCCCTGCAGGTGGCCCACCTTTCCCACTGTGCCCTGGTCACCTGCAGTCACAGGTGACAAAGTCAACTGTTCCTGCCCCGGTCTGCTGTCTTAACCTTGGATCTGGAGGCCAGCCGTGGTGGCAATGGCATTGCTTTTCTTCCCTACCCAGTGAGTGGGTGCTCTTGTCCCCAGAGGCCCTTCTGAGGTGGCTACACTTTATCTTCCTGGTGGAGCTGTAAGCTGGAACCCAGTTCAAGGCTGGCTGCCCTGACTAGTGCCAAGGGGACTGGGACTCGGGAGCAAAGCCCAGAGAGGTCAGGTAACCTGGGCCCAGGTAACCAGCACCTCAGCCACTGGGATGGAGTGGCTCCCACATCCTAACCACCTGGTCATCACTGGCACCTGGGGATCTGGGCAGGAGCTAAAGAATTTTCTGGAAACAATAACGTTTCCTCAATGGTTCTCAGGTGCCCAGCAAAGTTGTGCCACTTTATAGACCTCTGTCCACAACTATCTGACAGGTGGTATTAAATGTCCCCATTTTATGGATAGGGAGACTGAGGTTCAGGCTGATAGAGCAGTTGTAGGGAGACAGTCCTAGAGCCTGGGCCTGCACCCAGGCTGGCAGCTTCTCTTGGCAGCAGGGCCAACTTTGAGACCCGATGTCCTTTCTTGCACAATTGTGAAATCAGCAGCAGTGGAATTAACAAGGCTGGAATCGACCCCCTGGCCATAGACAAGGGTGCCCCCAGTGACCCTCCTTGGGCAGCCCCCACCCCAGCAGCCCGCCTCTCTCCCCAGGCTTCCGCTGTTCCCTGGACCAGCCATCTAGTCCTTCAAGGACTAAGCCATGGGCTTGACCTCGTGGAGTGATCCCATGTCCAGGCAGCGTGTATGTCAAGTTCACCACAAGGCCAGAGAGTGAGGGCACTGGGTAAGAAGGGAGGGTTCTCTGTAAAGGCCGAGACTGATCCCGGAGTCCCTGTGGCAGGTCAGGGCTGGGGGCAGGCCCTGACACTTGCTGGTCACGTGACACCAGGCAAGACCCCACCACTGTGGGCCTCGGCATCCTCGTCTGTGGCCGGATCTATCTGAATATGGAGCAGGACGGTCTGGGGGTCAACTGGATCACGGGCAGCTCTGTAGGGTCTTCCTTGCGCCCTCCTGGCCTATGGTGAGTGATGCAGGCGTGGACACTGATGAAGAAATGAATGGAAGCTTCCTTCAGGGCTAAGCAGCCCCTCAGCCTGAGAAGGCTAGAAAACCGGGAGTGGTTCTAATGAAGCCCTGCCTGGGCAGTGGCTCTGCCCCGGCCGCCCAGCGGGTTCCTGTTCCTTAGGCTTCTCCTTCCATCCACTCCTTTACCTGGACAGTGTGAAGGGTGCCAGTGGCTGAGCAACCCCATTTTACCCACAGGGTGGCCCCATGTACTGACCACTGGTGGTGAGGGCCCCGCTGCCTCTGCCCGGGAATGTTGCCGATGGCCTCGTCAGCCTCCAAGGCTTGCCCGTAGAAGGTGCTCAAAATGAATGCTAAATGGGTGGGTGGCTTCCATCTGGTAGCTGACAGCACCCTGGGATCCCATCCTGGGAGACCCTTGTTCCTGGTCCGTGAGCATAGACGTTCCAGACAGGGCTGCAGACTATTTGTACCAACTCCAGCCATGCAAAAGCTGACAAGGTGGGAGCCATGTTCACTCATATGGGGACACTGAGGCTCTGGGAGGGCACGTGATGAATTCAAAGGTTGGATTGGGGAACTCAAGGTTGGCTCCCTAGTCCTGCAGGTTAAAAGCAGATACCCTTCCTAGGGGATATGCGGAGGAGGCCTACCCAGCTTGGCACCATGGGAAACGTTTTTGTTTTTTTGTTTTTTTTGAGTTGAATTCTCACTCTGTCGCCCAGCCTGAGTGCAGTGGCCGCTCCCGGCCACCGCAGCCTCGACCTGCTGGGCTCCAGCGATCCTTCCGCCTCAGCCTTCCAAGTAGCCAGAACTACAGGCATGCGCTACCACGCCTGGC